TCTGAGAGCAAGTGCTCTGTTAGGAAAATATGGAACAATAAGGTCTGTAATGTAAGATGGAGCTAGGTTGTTGAGGGCTTTGTAGGTTAGAAGTAAGATTTTGAATTCAACTCTGGACTTGACAGGAAGCTAAAACTGGAGATATGATCTCTCCTTTGAGCATGAACTTTGTTAACTCCAGTTAAGACTCTGGCAGCAGCATTTTGGATCAACTGAAGACTTTTTAAAAAAGTATTTGGACACCCACATAACAAACCATTGCAATAGTCCAGGCTAGATGTGCTAAAGTATGAACCAGTTTTTCTGCATCATTTTTAGATAAGATGTTTCTAATTTTAGCAATACAGGTGTAAAAAGGCAGTTCTAGTAACATTTTTAATGTGCGGGATAAAAGACGTCCTGATCAAAAATAACACCAAGATTTTCAACATTAGAGCTGGAGGACAGATTAATGCCATCTAAGGAGGGTGAAAGACTGAAAAATGTATTCCTAAGATGCTCAGGTCCAAAAATTAAAACCTCAGTCTTGTCTGTTCAAAAGCAGAACATTTAGGGTCATCCAGGTTTTTATGTCTTTAAGACATGCTTGTATTCTACGTAACTGATTGATTCAGTGAGTTTCATGAACAAATAAAACTGTGCATCATCAACATAACAATGAAAATTTAGCCCATGCTGTTTAATAATGGCTCTGAGATTTAGTTTAGCGTAGGTTTTAAGTTAAAGTATTCTGAGGCACAGTTTACTAGAAAGATAATTTCTAACGTTGGCTCATTTTTTGACCTTACCTGTAATCAGGTAAAATAAAGTAGACAAGAAATACATCAGCCAATAAGTTTTCAGCTCTTTCATACAAGACCTAGTAAATGAGCCGTTCAGTTGGAGCGTTTGTTAAATTTACACACAGGCTGCAGGATCTCACACAATTCTTCATGAAAACCACATTTATTTCTGATGATTTGGTTCAGAGTGGAGCAGCTGATGGGGTTTTACTACCTTCCAAGCATCACGTGCACCACACCTGCTGCTGGATACTTTTAACCTTCCCCGATTTACACAATTAGTTAAAGACAACACGTCACCCTTCAGCACAGCCCACTACAAAACTGCTCATCGTGTCTGTTTGTTCAAAAGCAACACAAAAGAAAAGTTACCTCTAAAAATATTTTCAGTGATCTGGATCACATTATTAGAACGGTTTATTTAAGCAGGAGAGCCAACATAACGCCGTGGTCATCAGCTGATGGTGGTGTTGTGGCATAAAGTAAACATCAATAAACACGAGGAGGAGGAGAAGAAGAAGACGACTTCAAAGTGAACGATGATGAGAAAATTATTGTGGACTACAAATTATGTTAAGAGATCAAATCCAACACTTTCAACAACATCCAAGAAATAAAACGTGTAAAAAGAAGTTTTCTATCAGCAGCAGGAAATCATTTGTCAGTCAGCAGAAGAGGTTCCTGGGATTTGAGCACGAGCTTCAACAATCTCAACACTAAACAAATACGGTAAAAGACGAAGACATTGTCTTCCTACTGACTGTCTTCGCAGTGTAAGAGGATATGTCCAACAGCTGTTTGGTCTTTGAGCGACATCGGACTCCAACCATTCTGAGAAATTCTTGCCAGTTTGTAAAGAAAAGGCCCAAACTGCTCTGATGGAAGATTCTGAAAAGAGAAACCCAACCCAACAACAGAACACCATCATCAGGACAAACCTGATGTGTGTGTGTTTGCTCAGGGTCAGGTCCAGGAGCCTTTAGGGTCAGTGTGAGCGTAAACACTTTGGACAGGATGTCTCGTGGTCTTCAGACCTCCCACCCCCGCCCCCAACAGACACAGAACTGAAACACCATGCACCGAAATTGAGACCCAGGGCGACGAGCGAGGCTTTAGCTTCTCAACCATGTTGTCCTCTGCTGTTGAGCTGATCCGACCACGGGGAGACCGTCCATCTGTGTCCACCTAAACTGTCCTGATCTGAGACAGAGGCAGGCTGAAGGGGGACGAGCAGCGCCTCGAGTTTTATGATAATTAGAACAAAAAGAATTCACTAGATCCCAGCAGACACAAGAGAGGAGAGTTGCATGTCTTGAAGATTAAAAACCGATAATTAAATGGAAAGAACGAACACCTCCTGAAGGCTAGACCAGATCCAGAACCAGTTAGCAGGCAGGGTTTTCAACAAGACAAATGTGGCGCTGCAGCTGCTCCATAACCTAAAAACCACAATCAGCAGGTTTAAGCTACATGTATTTATTTTAGGACTGATATTCATTTTCTGGCAACGCTTGTGAAAAGCGGGTAATCATGTAATTGCCTCTGAGTTCGTGAGTTTGTCCAGTTTGACCCTGAAGTGGAAAAGGCTCTGCTCCTGGTGACAGAAACGGTAACAGACCTTCTACACCAGGGGTGTCAAACCCACTTAGAAAAGGGGGCCAAAATCAAAACCTTTTTCAAACTAAGGGCCAATTTCAGAAACGACATTAACTCAAATCAGACACCAGACATCTTTTCTAGGTCACAGGTTCCTCAGCAAGAATGTGATTGGTCTCATTTGATGTTCTCTGTTGTGCTTTTGACATCATAATCAAAGATTACTGAAAAAAATTAAAGTGATAAAAGTATTTTACATTTCACATTTCATCTTAGGGGCCAGATAAGATGTCAACGAGGGCCACATTTGGCCCCCGGGCCTTAAGTTTGACACATATGTTCTACACTCCTCCCTGATGGATGCTGGTGCTGCTGAAGCAAAATGTCAGACCGCTCCACAGTTTTTACAACCGGAACATGAAAAACATCTGGAAATGTTTATAACGATGGAAACCTGAAGTCATGTCATTCATTTCAACAAATTATTTACTGACAGAAAGAAAGCAGAAATAATAAGTTGTGACTAACAAATACATATTTTAAATAAACGCAAAAGTCAATTGAGGCAACACTTCAAAATTATATAACCCATTCTGATAATAACATCATTTCATTTCATCCATCGCCATGAATGACGGGGAATCATGTAAATACCTGTGTCTGTTAGCAAAATATTTTATGACTCAGATTTGAATGAACCTTTCAGAAAGTTATCACTGAATGCAGGTCTACAACTCCATCCAAACTAATTCAAGATGGTCGCCACAGCTAATCAATATTAGCAAACACATGAACGGCTACACCTCATTCTGTTTTACAGACACTCAGCTAAAGTTTGGTGCGGTAGTAGCTGAGAATCATAGACAACACGGACTCCGAGCGTTGACCGGTTGCTCCTAGCATTATTATTTTTATTTAACAGAGGCCTTGAAGGTCATTTTGACACAAGGGCAGCGGGAGGTTGACAAAAATGGCTAAAATTCTGTAATTCTTAACATAAAACAAACAGTTTGTTTAAAATTCTGATAATAAAGGTGATGGGTGACATGCATTTCTGTTTATATTTGTTATAAGTGTTAAAAACAAGAGAACAATAAATGTTGGAGGAGTGAACTCTGCTGATTTCTGCCATTTCTCAGCACACACAACTGAAGATTGATTTGTGTCTTATTTACTTTAGGCAAAGAGAAATTTGTGGAATCTGTCAGAAAAAATTGATTTATTTTACGACCCACAACACAAAAACAAACAGAGTTTTTTTGGTTAATCAGCATGACTTTCAGATTAAAAAAAAAACAAAAAAAAAACATTTAAAACAAATATCACCCAACACCTCTCAGGTCAAAGATGTAAAATAAGATTAATGATAAAACGTAGAAGTTTCATTATGAGTGTGTTGTGGATGACTCTCAGCTACTAAAATACCATAATTTAGCTCAATGTCTGTAAAACTGACTAAGTTTAAATAGCTAACATCAAGTAGCTGAGGTGGCCATCTTGAATTGGGCTGCCTCCCAAACTTAATCAATTGTACAAGCGAGAAGGTTGTTAGATTAAATCCCGGCCGAGGACTTTATGGGTGGAGTTTGCATGTTCTCTCCGTGCATGTGTGGGTTTTCTCCGGGTACTCTGGTTTCCTCCCACAGAACAAAAACATGCATGTTATTCTGATTGGTAACTCTAAATTGTCCCTAGGTGTGAGCGAGAGAGGGAATGGCTGTTTGTCTCGTTTGTCTCTATTTGTCTCTGTGATGGACTGGAGAAATGTCCAGTTCTCTGCCTCTTGCACAGTGACTGCTGGATTTTATGGTTATGGGCACCAATAACCCCCGTGACCCAGAAAGGAAGAAGTGTGTGGATAATTACAGATATGTTCATTCAATTATTGTTTTCTAAAAGTTTTATTACAATACCTGCATTGATTCGAGAGCTGTTTCGCAACCAGACACTTACAGTTTAAAACATTAGACATGTGACCTACAAAAGCGTTTCAGCCTTTTAGCGCATCATGTCTCCATATAAGGCCCTCTACGTCACTGCCGGCGCATTACGTCACGGCTGGCGCAGCTGATGCTGGGATGACAGCGGGCTAATGATCCGTGAGGAGGATTTAACGCCAAATGGAAGCGAGCCGTGGCCGCTTCGGCAATCAGAAGCAAACGCAAGCTGTAATTCCCGCAGATTCGGGCCGTACCACACGCTCGGCAGACATTTGTAGCGTAAGCTGCAGATTCTCACCGTAGCTTGCGTCACGAACGTAAATAAACGTTCCCTAATCATTTGACTGATGCGCTAAAGGGAATCCCTTACAGTAACGCTAAAGGTCATCGCGCGACGTCTCACTTCGTTCATTCCGTTAAATAACATTCAGTGGAGCTTCAGCTCGTTCAGGACTAGTGGGTCCAGCTCTGTGAGGAGATCCCCTTGCAGCTTGGACCCGATGTGTGTGGACGGAAGTCGGTGCGGCACTTTGGCTAACAGCTCGGCTAACAGCTTTGGCTAGCTGTGCCCGTTTACAGTTACACCGAGCGCTAGCCAACTGAGCTAGCTACAGCTAGCCCATCGGTCGTTAGCTTCGCTGGTGTCATCGTGAGTAAATAAATGAAACGAATAAAATCTCACCGTGAAGGGAACGTCGTTCACGCTCCCCACCGAGTAGCAGCAGTCCCCGGGGTTCACGGCTCCAGTCAGCACCTGGTGCAGATGCATTTTGCCCTCTGTTGTGGCAGCAGACGCGGCTTCTTTTAATTATTTATAACGAGTCCACCCTTTCGGTTTCTCCATCCAGCATCAGGGAATTCCATCAGGAGCGTTTGAAACGTCGTCCTTCGTCCTCGGCCCGGCGGAGACTCGTTTATCCCCCAGAAAACGGCGGCGCTGCGGAGTGGGAGCCTTCCGCCCGTTTGAATGCAGCTTCTCTGGGTCCTGACATCTACTCAGTGATTAAAAACCAGCCGCCTCGCGCTGCAGGCATCATCCTCACGAATAATCGTGAGAGCCGAGACAGCAGGATCTCCGCAGCGATCCTGACATGCGCGTTCACGTCGCTGTCACGGCACGACAGGATCATCATAGATCCACAAAATCTAGAATGGAAAACGCAAATAAGATTAGTCTGCTCCGCTGGGCAGCCGTTCTATTTGTGAAGTTCTATGTTTAAAAGTCTTGAGGACTGATTAAATTTGTTTTTACCTTTATTTTACCAGGAAATAAATCTATAGAGATTATTAATCTCTTTTACATGGATGTCCTGGGCAATGTGCAAGGCGCAAACAAGCTGTATTCAAATATTTACAACAAATCATCCGGTAATAAAAATGTGAGGTTAAAGCTCAGAAGAAGTAAATGAATCATTTTATCTAAACAAAAGCAAACCTTCAAAACGTGCAAACACTTTGGTGTTACCAGCTAATGCATACAGCATCAACGTGTGGCACGGAGGCCTGCACAGCTGCAGAAAAGAAAGCTCTGCAGAGAGTGGTGAAAGCTGCACAGAAGACTGTTGGAGTCAGCCTCCCCACCATCACTGACATCTACACCTTCAGATGCAGGAAGAGGGCCGCCTACATCATGAAGGACCCCACTCACCCAGCACACACACTTCTTGCCCCACTCCCCTCAAGCAAAAGGTTGCAGAGCATTAAGTGTAGAACCACTAGTCGGAGGAACAGCTTCTACCCTGAAGCTGTTAGATTCACAAATCCCTAACCAAGAAAATCATTGGAATGCCACTTTAATTGGTGGTGTGACATCAGTGTTGCTGATTTCTTGCCTTTAAGCTGCTATATTCATACCCATCTGCTCACTATAATTAAATTTAGTTTATTTATAAAGCACCAAGTCACAACAGAAGTCATCTCAGGGCACTGAACAGAAACATTCATATATAAAAATAATAATTTAACACTGTTTATCTGAGGAGCAGACTGCTTTGAGTTTAACTCCATCACAGAACTCTCACCTTGAGCAAGCATGAAGGCGACAGTGGAAAGGAAAACCTCATGAGGAAGAAACCTTAGCAGAACCAGGCTCAGGACAAGCGGTCATCTGCCTTGACTGGCTGGGTTTGGTAGGAACAGATACACAATGGCAGGTCAAGAATCACATGTTAAGATAGAAATAGTATCAAATGAAAACGATTCCATTTTAGCAAATCATTTAAGGAAATTAGGTCAATTTGTTCTCTAGTAGTCTAAGCTTAAGGCAGCATAACAAGCCAACCTATAGGATTTATCAAAAAGGAAATTCTTAAGCACAGTCTTAAAACAGAACAATGTGTCAGTCTCACTGACAGAAACTAAAAGTTGGAGCTGAAAACTGAAAGATCTTCCTCCCATTCTGCTTCTGGAAACTCTAGGGACCGCGAGTGAGCCTGCAGTCTGAGAGAGAATTGTGCTCTGTTAGGAAAATATGGAACAACGAGATCTCAAATATAAGATGGAGCTAGGTTGTTGAGGGCTTTGTAGGTTAGAAGAAAGATTTTGAATTCAATTCTGGACTTGACAGGGAGCCAATGGAGAGAAGGTAAAACTGGAGCGATATGATCTCTACTAACTCTAGTTACGACTCTGGCAGCAGCATTTTGGATTAAATGAAGACTTTTTAAAAAAGTATTTGGACACCCAGATAACAAACCATTGCAATAGTCCAGTCTAGACGTGACAAATGCAGGAACCAGTTTTTCTGCATCATTTTTAGATAAGATGTTTCTAATTTTAGCGATATTATATGTTCGGGCTGCTGTTTAATATATCGTTTAATATACAGTATTTATTTACATTATTACACATTAATAATGTGTAATGATAACACATTATGTTGCATTATTTATAACAATAACCCAATACATTAAACGCATTATTAGTGTTTAGCATCAGGGGCAATTCTAGCATATGCCCTTTAGGGGTGCTTAGCCCTCAGTGCTTACAATGGCTCTTGGCTTGAGCAACGTGGTGGCCATTGGTTTCAGAAGCATTCATAATGTTGAGGGGGACACACTGTTTTTGTTTTTTTTTGTGTGGGGGGGGGTGTTTCTGGGGGTCAGAATGTTATTTCAGAATGTTCAGCTCGTTCAGGAGAGAGGTGACATGACTTTAGGTTGTGGTAACTTTTTTAAATTTTCAGAATATTTAACTTTATTTACACACATCTCCCCCATAGAAATACATGGAGATCTGTTCCATCTGAAACTTTGTTCTCTTTGAAATCTGCTTCATCTACTGGCTTAGTTTTTGTTGTCTTTGCCTAATTTTAAATTTTAGCTAGCCTTTAGCTAATATTATCTTTTAGCTAAGTGTTTCTCCCTTTTAGCCTTTGCCATTGTTCCTCTTTGTTTAGCTTTTTGCTAACATTTTGGTGCTTTTAGCTATTGTTTTGCTACTTTTAGTTGACTCGTTGCTACTTTCAGCTTTTACCAAACTTTTGCTACTTTTAGCTTTGACTCTTTAGCTTCTTTGTCGGTCCTTCAGTCGTCCTCAGCGTTCACGTTGTATTTTTTGCAGAAAAAGCTTTTACACCAGTTAAATGACAGGAAGTACAGATTCCACACTGAATGTTACAGAAATGAAAACCAAAATAATATGAACGGTGGAAGAGCTGACGAAAACCAACACATCATGCACACTGAGGCCAGTTCCTGTGTTTAAATGTACCGTGTCTCTAATCATAACAAGTTTTATGTTAACCAGGGTAAAAAGTGCTGCTCTTTGCACATTTTTAAGGCTCCTTAGTTTCAGTAAAGTCCTGCCATCACAAAGATGGACCCTCTGCTCCTTTTCCACAGAGGAAGAGTGAAGGAGACCTGCGTGAACTTCACTCTGCCGATCCTTTATCCTCTTATCTGCTCCCGTCCAACTCACTGATGTGATTAAGAAGAGTGCCACACAGACATGTCCTCAGTCACGTGTCCTCTCGTTTACACATCTGCTGGAAACAGATGACTGAGAGGAGTTTCACACAGCAGCGGCTTTAGATCAGAGTCAGATGTGTCTTACAGCCACAGCAGGACAACCGAAGCCCAGAGACGCATGGACGGTGTCAGCGTCAGCAGTGAGACAAGATCAGCAGAAAGCATTTCGTGTCTAATTAGTGTTTGTTGACTAAAGGTTTATGACTTTGACTCAGTTTTACAGATATTGCGGTAAAACTTGGTGTGGTAGTAGCTGAGAGTCACTCCCAGCACACACTCTGAGGGTGAGATCTCCTGATGTCGCATGAGATTGTTCATAATGTTATTTTCAAGACTTGACCTAAACAACTCCATCATTTCTCATCATGAGTTGATTGTACTCTAAAACTGGCATGAAAGGCGGCGGGCGATATGCATTCATCCAGTGAGTTCTAGGTATTTTATTATGTTATCAGCATGTTGTGTTAGTGTTTGTTGAGTTTCTCAGATATTAATGCAGGATGCTTCACGTTGTTGAAAATTATCATAAATCAGCACAGAATCCATCTTTGCTCTTATGTAACCAGAACCATCCTGAAAATTGAAATTCACTGAAATTCTGCCAGAAATCTGCGTCATTCATCTTCGAGTCTTTGAATGGTTTTAAAGGGCAGACTGCTGCGAGACAGAGTGACTAAGATGGTGATTACATCCCTCAAGGCCCGAGTCTTCAAACGCATTGCTGACTGAAAATATCTTCTTTCTAATATTTCTAATTATAGACAGTTTGTCTCAAGGCCATTTTTGAAAATAAAATCCAGAAAAAGTAGATAAAGAGTTTCATGCATATCTCCAGCAGGTTTATTTATGAATTCATAGATTATTCCCCAAATGATGGAGGTTTGGAATCTAAAGGAGCTTAGACATACATCTAAATCTCTTGTGAAGTGGTCCTAGAAAGTATTTTAGGTCCATAAATATCCTGTTGATGATCATGATTGACTGCAGCTTGTAGTTTCTTTAGGATTTGTTCAGCAGCATTCAGTGGAATGCCCAATACTCACCTGCCCCCCTCATATGTCAGGAATAACCCAGGACCACAAGACCTCATCTAAACTGCTGTAACACTAGCTTCCATGTCCACCAGTGTCCCTGTCCACAAGTATTCCTGTCCACCACTGGTCATATCTTCCAGTGCCTTTGTCCACTAGACTTCATGTCCACCCATGTCCCTGTCCACCAGTCTTCATGTCCCCCGGTGTCCATGTCCACCATTGGTCATGTCCACCAGTGTCCCTGTCCAGCAGTTTCCATTTCCACCAGCGTTCCTGTCCACCAACATCCCTGTCCACCAATGGTCAAGTCCACCATTGTCCCTGTCCACCAGTCTTCATGTCCATCAGTGTTCTTGTACACCAGCATCCCTGTCCACCAATCTTCATGTCCACCCGTGTTCCTGTACACCAGTGTCCTTGTCCACCAGTCTTCATGTCCACCAGTGTCTCTGTCACCAGTGTTCATGTCCACCAGTGTTCATGTCCACCAGTGTCCCTGTCCTCCAGTGTTCATGTCAACCAGCATCTCTGTCCACCAGTGTCCATGTCCACCATTGTTCATGTCTACCAGCATCCCTGTCCACCAGTGTTCATGTACACAAGTCTTCATGTCCACCAGTGTTCCTGTCCACCACTGGTCATGTCTACCAGTGTCCACCAGTGTTCATGTCCACCAGTGTCCCTGTCCACCAGTGTTCATGTCCACCAGCATCTAGGTCCACCAATGTCCCTGTACACCAGTCTTCATGTCCACCACTGTTCCTGTCCACCACTGGTCATGTCTACCAGTGTCCCTGTCCACCATCGTTAATGTCCCTCATTGTTCATGCCCACTGTTGTCCCTGTCCACCAGTCTCTATATCTACCAGTGTCCATGTACACCAATGTTCCTGTCCACCAGCGTCCCTGTCCACAAATGGTCATGTCCACCATTGTCCCTGTCCACCATTCTTCATGTCTACCAATATCCCTGTCCTCCTGTCTCCATATCCACTAGTGTCCCTGTCCCCTAGTGTTCATGTCCACCAGTGCCCCTGTCCACCAGTGTTCATGTCTACCAGTGTTCCTGTCCACAGCTTTCCTGTCCACCATGTCCACCAATGTCC